AACTTAGTATTTTGACTTCACAAACATCTAATCTGAACCAGTGCTGCACTCAACATACCATGACACAAAAAAATCGATGTTTATCTGTTATTTTTAATATTTGATTTTAAATTAAGAAATTGAGTAATTTCTAGAACACAAAAATATATCATGCACTAGAATAGAATATTCCAAAACTATTATAATTTAATTGGCTTTCTAAATAGGTTAAAAATTCCATTAGCTGATCAAAGCTGAACAACAATTATCACAGAAAATAGATTTGAGACCAACTGTCTACTTATGGTTGCCAAAAATAAATAACCATAATAAAAATGTTGTAGAGGAAAGAATACTCTTTCTATTGGTTATAAACATGTCCATCAAATAATGAAACATGATATGGATAACTTTCTTGAAAGTTATGATAAAATAGGAGAGGAGGAGGAGCTTCATTGGTTGATTTGATAAATTTATTATTTTTTCAGCAAATTGAGAAGATAGAAGATTCAAATTTTATATTCTGGACTGTCATTATCTATAGTTTGTGTTCATAATTGGTTAGTCACTGTTGAAGCTAAATGGGAGAAATCAGAGCATGTGTCACCTGACAAAAGAGTGAAGACTGAGAATGTTTTAAATATATTCTTTTGAAATCAAGAAATTAAAACTGAAGTAATATTAATATTTGAATAATAAACTATGCTTTAATGCTAAGTTTACTGATATACGTTGATAATAAAGTTGTTTAATTAAATTTTGAAAGTAACTCTGTCCAATGTTGGGACACGCACACTTTACCATCCTACATGCATAGGTTTAAACTGATCAGAACAGGTTGAAAGAAGGTCATAGCATGGAAAATGGATAAAAGTCTGTAAGATAAACTAACCTAGACAAAAATATGCTTCTAAAAAAAAGGTTGACTAAAGTAAAATATCATAAATACAAAATTATGTTATCCAAAAAACATAACAAGGAATTTACAAGGAATATTACAAGGAAAATATAAACCAAATTTATCATATATATATGGAAGACACACACAGGGAAATTTCTAATAAGGGAGTATCAGGTAACACCACAAAAAAAGGGTAAACATGAAGATCCTCAAGAGTTACAGTCACGAAGAGAGTTTGAAAATTTGAAATAAATTAACTCTTTTCAATTTGACAAGATCAGACAAGTGATACATTCAAAATGTAATCAAAGAACTTTATTATCATTGTGTGTTAATAAACTTGGGATAGAAACATACCTTATAATTCGAATTTTTATACTATTGAAGTTGTACTTTCTTAATTTCAAAAAGAAATATTAAAAAACCTCAAACTTCATTTTTGTCTGTCACATGATGTATCTGAGCTGTGATTTCTTCGCTTCAGAATTTATTAACAAAAATAGGCTGTTACAATTTCCAAACAATAAGAAACACTAACTATACATAATTATAAATAATAATCTAAAATGTGACCCCCCAACCATCTTTATTTTCCTATGATATTAATATATTTGTGAAACTCCCCTCTCTGACTTTTGAAAGTGTTTGATGATCAACTCTAAATGACATACAGACATGTATATAACCCATAGAAAAAGCAGATTCTCCTCTTCATAAATTAACATTTTCCGAAATTGAAAATGTATTTTCAATAATACTTACCTTCTTTGCCCATCTAAGCATTGGTCTGATTTTTTCTTTCTTACTCCAGTCTTTTATACCCCACTTAATTGCCCTTGGGGTTATTTTGTCTCATGACTCTCTCCACCTACACCAATGCGCCCTCTATCCTGATACTGTATATAAGCACCTCATTCAGATAATGCTATCACTTTTTCAAGACTGACTCCATCCAAGTCTGTCTACCCCTGATTCTTAGTGGGGGAGGAAGGGTGGGAGAAGAGATATGTATTATTGGAAATATATTTTCAATTTAGGAAAATGTTAACTTCCAATACATACATACCTCTGCTCCAACTTATAGTTAGAATCCCACATTTAGAAGGTGGATGGGCCGGTGAGGGCAGTATCCATACAGAAAGTGTCTGCATAGATCATGGTTGTGTCAATATGAGATTGGCACTCTAATGGGAGAACCACACTACATCTAGAACAGCTATGCTTTTCACCCTGAACTTAATTCCTGTATCATGAGTGATCATCACTATAGGCCAGCCCCAACCAGATAGCCAAGGTTCCACTACTCGGGGTTGGAATTAAGGGGTCTTGATCCCTATATCCTATGTTGGACTGCAATATATAAATATACTTCTGAGTGAATTCCAGTAGCCAAAAAGTGATGCGTTCTGATACACCAGCATCACAACGAGAAGGAAAGCAACACAGAAGTGGACAAACCTTCTCCTCAACCTGAAGAAGCTCAAAAAGAATGATGGGATAGTGTATACCTTACTCAACCAAAGGAAACAGAACTCATCTGAACATTAAGCCTCACTCCCCAACAGTGAGAGCAAGGTACATTCCACTTACCCCCGGAATTATGGGGAGGATGTAGAACAACTGTGCTAAACCAAAGATCCAGAATGGGACCACTCCATGTTTGGAATTATGAGGAGATAGTGGACCCTCTTCCAGGAATAAATGTACTGAATCTATATTGATCACACAGAAGGGCTATGCACACCCCAACCGGATAGCAGAGCATCAAATCTGAATCAGTATTACAAGTAGACTCCCTCATAGGGTGGTGCTACTCCTACTGACATCTGGGAAAAACATCCAGGGACCCAGTTAGGAGGGTCTAGCATCTCTAAAGGCATTAAACCTTCAAGACTCTCATTGAACATGACCATGATCGAAACTTTATCTGACTTAGAAGTGAGAAATAGTGATCAGATGAATAGGTGAAAAGGACTTTAACCCCTTTCCAGTTTGTCAGTGTCTTGGGTAAGAAGAACTGGTCTGAGGATGTAAAGAGGATGAGAAAGTGATCTGTGGACAAACAGTGCAAATCACTCTGACCAGTGATGTCTGTAGGTCAGCAGCCACGAAAAACAAACCTTCAGGAAAAGGGGATACATGGCATATAAGAGTCATGACACAAACAAGTGTAGAGAAAGAGCCTGTACTGTACCCTTAATATAATTGTTAGGTAACTCGAATTGTCAGTTGTGATCAAGGACCCAAAGCAATTTGAGGATTCCAGAGAGTACTGAAGACTCAAAAATTATGGAGTTGCAATAATCGAACGGTAGTTAATAAGGCCACCTTAAACAGGGCAACTGTGGAAAAAAGATACAAAAATCTCTGACAGAGAGCCAGGTCAAAAATCAAGTTATGGTTGGCACTTCTGATCGAAGTAGGTTCAAACTTTTCTCAATACACGATTGCTATTATGTGTGTCATTTCCATTGATAAATGTCCAGCACAGGACTAAGCAAAGTCTGAGACAGATATGTGGTAAACTCAGAAATTAAACCCTGATGTCATGTGAATGAGTGTGTAACATCTACGGCCGAAGGTTGAGCTTCTGGATAGCTGGGTGTACCATGTCAGATCATAGCTGCCTCCACAAAGATAGCCTAAGAAGAAGTGGACACTCCAAGTTATCTGCAGAAGCAGAAACCAGGGTGTAGCTGCCAATGTGCTATCAACAGGACCCAACAGCTGATTGGAACAAATCATAGTTAGTACTTTGGGTAATATACAAAGTGGAAAGAAGGCCTAAAGTCGTAATCCCATCTTGCCCTGACAGAATGAAACCATTGCCAAAACCCAAAAACGAAGTACTAGAGATCAAATTGCCAGTAGTTGGGTGATCCAATGAGAGGCCAATCCACCAATCAGGATTGCAAATTTAGAGCCATTCTAACAGAACCTTGTGATGCAGCATTTATTCTGTCAAGAGAATCAGTTAAGATTGAGACAGTTGACTTGTTACCACAGGCATCACCTGTAGAACATGGCAAGCTAGTAGGGTGATAAGATAGGAATGGTCTCAAGAAAGAAGGTCCAAAATACAAAAACAAAGAGCCCTGGATCAAGTGCCTCTTCGATGAGAAACACGAGACACTACTACGGAAAGTGAAGCCTGATGATTTTCCCCTTTATAAGCCTGTTGATGAGCAACAAGGACTAAAATGTTGTGTAGGGAAGACTCTTCGTCTGTGCATAGACCCTGGAATTCTTAACTGTTGGTATATGCACCCCATCCTTGAAGCAAGGCATTCATGAAAATATGCAACTCTGGACAAGGTGGTGGTAGAGGAACCCATATCGTAGTAGTTTCCCGACTTAACCACCCCTCAAGATCGAAGAATGATCCCAACTAAGGAGACTGGGAAAACCAGTGAATTGATGTTTATGATCACTTGGTTGTATGAAGGATTTAAAAGGATCTCTTGTCCTCTCGTCCCAAAGGCATAAGAGAATCGAGTGATGCCCACATTCCCAGAAGAGAAAGAACCATCCATGGCATGGAAGGAGAAGAGGTGAGTAAGAGTCTGGCATATTGCTTCCATAGTGTTGAGCTAGATGGGAATCAACTGAGTCCAACTGAGAGACAAGATGAAAAACAACAACAAAAAAAAAAAACAGACTGATAACATACTGAATTGGAGCAAGGAAAGATGTCTCAGTCCTGAAAATGAAATCTGCCTTGGTCGTTTGTGAAAGTAGAATTAGGATACGATGTTCTGACAATTGACGAGATAGTGCCAGCAGTAACCAATCGTCCATGGAATGGTGTGTGTACAGTGTAATGGAATGTACGTGATGAGAAACTCATACAATATGGCAGAACCCATGTGAAGCTGATGCGAGTCCAAAGGTAAAAACCCGGAACTGCAGTACCTGACCCTTGTGCACAACAAATGCTGTTAGTGGTGGGACTTTATTATAAATTACTATTACAAAAATCAACTAGATAAAACTGATAACATTCAAGGTATCTCTGAATGATCATAACACTGGGAAACCCATTAGTGACGCTTTGTCGATAAAAAATTATAACATTACCTGTATGAGGTGCTTATATACAGTACCAGGATAGAGGGCACATTGACGAAGATGGAGAGTATCATGAGACAAATATCACCAGGCACAATTAAGTGGGCTATAAAAGACTGGAGCAAGCGAGAAAAAATCAGACCAATACCTAGATGGGCAAAGGAAGAAACTCTGGCAGTCAAGTAATAGCTATAAGTGGGAGAAGAGGTATGTATGTATGTATTGGAAATCTTATAATTTGATGTTCATTTTTCTCACCATAAGAAGTTAGTTAACAAGAATTGGTGGATTTATGATGATCAGATTTTTTAACCCATTTATAACTTCTCAAATTACCTATCTTGAGTGCCAGTATGTAACATAAAACTATATTATGTGCTGTTAACATTAGCTAATGAGTTTCCACTATAATTTATTGCTTTTGTCAGGAGTACAACAATAAAGCCATAAAATTAAAAGAAAACAGATGTGAAAAAGATTAACAGTTGAAATTGTTATGTTAAGTAACTTGGAACTTTCTGCTCAATACTGCAGTCAGTGGAGAGGAAGGTATATTACTTATTTTGTTTCATGTTTTCAACTTTTCATTTCACCATATATATTGATGATTTCTCTACAGTTAATGTTAGAGTACAGAAAATAAGAGATAAAATATAAACTTTTAATGCAAAAAATGTCATATTCATTTAGGATGTTCTGGAAGATATGTAAAATAATTATAAAAACTGTAAGATTAAAAAACAATATTTTTATTCTTGGTATGAAAATCACCTTTCACTCAGATTCACTTAATAAAGGCATTGGAAATTCACAGCTTTAAAAGAAATGTTTTATCAAAAAAATCTGTTTTTGTGTGCAACAGCTTTGTTTACTAAAAGATTGTCAAATTTTGTGTAAATTCAGAGTTATAGTTTCACAGTTCCAAGGTTGGTCAAATCGATCAACTTCCTTCTTATAATATTAATACAATATAAAAATGGGGAACGAGCAACCTACTCGCAGCTCAAGGAAACAAACTTTCAAGAAGAGAAAACTGTGCTTAAATTTGTTAAGAAGCCTAACTATGTTACTTTCAGTTAAGAATCAACAAAGGTGATTCAACCAACACACAAAGTCAATATCTGTATAGTATGCTCAAGATTAGGAAGAGTAATGATGAAAATATCAAGAATGGCTACCAGTTCATTGTAAAACAGGACAAAAGACAAGAAACTACTAGAGAGGGAAGAACCAAACAAAAGTGCTATAAGTGGAAAAACTACAGCAAACTGGTAATAAATAAAACAACATCACAAAAAACTATTATATCGCAGTAAACTGATTTAATTTTCCAGGAATAAAAACACAATATTTTACAAGGTAGCAATAAAAACACATGCAGAACAAACACCTACACAAGCCAATTGTATAATAATATTGTAATACACAAGCTATGAACAAGAAGAGAGGAATTTTAACAGAGCAGTTAACTGAGAACTTTGTATAATACACATGGTCACTTGGTAAAGAGTGGTTGAAAGCTTTAATTACTGTTAAAGAGCCAATTCATTCTATTCATAAAAGGTGTTTTAAGATATCATATATGAAGTAACAATAGAAAGCCTCAGGGGTTACAGAATGTCATGTCACAGTGTTAGCTTACTGTTATCCCAACAGTATAGTAACATATTAGAATGATTATTTCACTGACCTGCCATTTAATGATATTAAAGAGGTATCAGGATTTTTCTCTGAGTTCACATATGTTGAAGGGCTAATGTGTGTTCTGAAATAAACAAGAAAAGATTATTAGGCAACTTAAAAACTGCAGCATAAACAGAAAAATTATATTATAAGTCCTAAAACTTGTCTGGTAACAGATGTGTATTTATTACATGATCCAGAATAAAAATATTCAGAATACCATTATTTTTTTTATCAATACACATTTGGAAATATTAAGTTTCACCACTAGAACAAGTTAAAATTCTAACTTTTGTTTTTCATTTTATTAGTTATACTTACAATTCTTAAAATATTTGCATAAAACCTTAAAAATCAACAGCTAAGTCAAAACTTAAAATCATTTGCTGTACCAAATTGTGGCACAGGTTATGTGCTAAAGACTACATCATAAAACAAAACAAGCATATGAATACAACACTGAGGTGTAACACTACATTAGCGTTTCAGAAAATAAGCTGAGCTTTGCCATGTCTATTTAGCATTTGTTATGTAGCATGTAGATTTCATTAAGATTTTATTACAAAAAATTTTCTCACAATGTTTGCTATACACTTTAACCAGCAGCCACTGAAATAATTATCATATGCTATACACTTTAACCATCACTATTGAAAGTATTATCATATGCTATACACTCTAACCAGCAACCACTGAAAGTATCATATGCTATACACTTTAACCATCACTAATGAAAGTATTATCATATGCTATACACTTTAACCATCACTAATGAAAGTATTATCATATGCTATACACTTTAACCAGCAGCCACTGAAATAATTATCATATGCTATACACTTAAAGCAGCAGCCACTGAAAACATTTTCATATGCTAGACATTTTAACCATCACTATTGAAAGTATTAACATATGCTATACACTCTAACCAGCAGCCACTGAAATAATTATCATATGCTATACACTTTAACCATCACTATTGAAAGTATTATCATATGCTATACACTCTAACCAGCAACCACTGAAAGTATCATATGCTATACACTTTAACCATCACTATTGAAAGTATTAACATATGCTATACACTCTAACCATCACTAATGAAAGTATTATCATATGCTATACACTTTAACCATCATCACTGAAAGTATTATCATATGCTATACACTCTAACCATCACTAATGAGAGTATTATCATATGCTATACACTCTAACCAT